CGCGCCCGGCTATATTGACATTTTCTATAAGTTGGCCTACGTTTCTAGCTTGTGTGGGTATGTGTAAAACAGAGAACATTTTGAGGCATTCCATTTTACAACTGATAGATGCTGACATCAACCTGCCCCTTTCTACACTCTATTCTTGAAAGTTGAATCACAGTGAAATTTTAAAAGTGGATTTTTTTCTCATAAAAAGCAGAAGTTTCTCAAAAAGGTAATTGTAGAATTATCATATGATGCAAAAACTCGACTCCTAACTATACACCTAAAAGAATTAAAAGTAGGGACTCAGCTACCGATACATCAGTGCTCATTCTAGCATGATTCAATCGCTGAAAGGCAGAAAAACTCACATGCCCATCCGCAGGTGAATAAATTAATAAAATAGGATACATTCATATCATGGAATAGGATTCATCCTTTAAAAATAAAATTTTGATACATGCTATAACATGGACGAACCTAGAAAACATGACAGGTGTCATAAACCAGACACCAAAGAAAAAAATGTGGCATGATGATCCTTATGTAAAACATCTAGAATAAGCAAATTCATAGAGACAGAAGGTAGGTTAGAGGTCATCAAGGACCATAGAGGGGGTGGGGGCAATCAGGCGTTCTTGTTTCACGGTCCAGAGTTTCTGCTTGGGGAAAATGAAAAAGTTGAGAAATAAATCGTGGTGATGGTCGAACAACATTATGAATATAATTAATCCCACCAAATTGTATACTTAAAAATAGCTTGAATGGCAAAATTTATACTATGTGTCTTTTACTACAATAAACAATTTTAAACGAGGTTTCTTCAAACTCATCCTCCAACAAAGTAACAAATACTCCTTGAAGAAAGCTAGGAAAACTTTAAAAAGTAAAATGAAATGAAAGCCACCTGTTCTTCCACCAAGTAGTGATAACATGTGATTAATGTGTTGTACAATTTGCTCTTCTGACCAGTAGTATAGATACATGCAGATACACACACACACACACACACTCCCTCACTCTCACAGCGTTATGCCGACCCTGCTTTTCTCTGTATGTTGTAACAATCAATCTTATCCATGAGCCTTAATTTATTTAAACGTATCAACTCCCCCAACCCCCGCGCCGTCCGCGCAGAGCCAGAGAAGCGGGCGGGGAGCAAAGGTTGGCGTCCTGGCGCTCGGACCTTCGCCAGAGGGTCCGCGGCATCCTGACGGTGGGAGCCGGGCTCCGATCCAAGGCGGAGAGCAGCCTCCTGCGCCGCGGGCCCCGAGGGCGAGGGCGGACCGAGGGGGACGACGAGGAGGCGGCCGCCATCCTGGGCCACCTGGAGTCGGGAGACGAGGCGGCGGCGGCGGCGAGGGAGAGCGGGGCGAGCGCGGCGGGCGCGCGGAGGGTGCGCCTCGCCCCCCTGCCCGAGCGCTCCGAGCCGCCGGAGGAGCCGGCGCCGGGCGAGCAGCCCAGGAGGAGGTACCGGCGGCAGCTGCAGAAGTGCGGCACGAACGTCGGGAGGGTCCTGACGAAAGGAGGCCGCGACGCGGTCATCGGGCCGCAAGGCTTCGCTGCAGCCTACTCCGCCCCGTCTGGGGCAGCCGCCAGTGTGGATCCTCCGTGCGCTGACGGGATTCCCTGCGGTGGGAACCGTGTGAATCGGGAGCATCTCAGACTTGAGCGCACACAGCATACCTGGAAGAGAAAACACGCCTTTCTTTGCTCCATCACATGAGTAGGATGAATGAGTCACCCCTGCCCATCGGCTGAGCTGCTCACGTGTCTCAGTCCTCCGTGGACCCAATGGTCGATCCTGCTGAGAATTCGGCGGAGGTTAGGTTTGAGAGTGGAGCTGGTGTGCTGAAGCCAGAGCCTTCACGTGAAGGTGGCAGGTGCCGGGGTGGAGGCCCACACTCGACAGATCCGAGCAGTACGGGCGCGTACGGCAGAATCTTGGGGGGAGGAAGAGGATGTTGCTGGAGTCAGATGATTGACTTGCTGCATTCTCCCGGAAAGGTTGTGGGCTGAAGGCACTCACGTTCCTGGGCTGCCTCGGTTCCGAGGGCAGCTAAGGAGCTGTTTCTTCCTCAAGTCGTTCTCCCCATCTCCTGCCTCTGCCACTCTGCCACCAGGAGTTTAATTACAGGCTTGAGAAGAGGGAAGGAAGAAAGCTCTTTGAAGGCTATGATGCTTTGAAAACTGGGTTGGCAGTGTGGACTGACTGTTTAAAGTAGACAAAAACTTGTCATTTTACCCCATCCCGAACGGCCGTGCGGCTGGCGAGAAAGGAGGGAGGAGGGCAAGTTCAGGCGCAGGCTGGGTGGGTGGCTGGGACGGGTCGGCCAAGGGACCACTCCTGAGGGCTCTTGTGCCGGCGATGCCCACTTCGGCCCAGCCATGTGTTTGCGGCAACCAGAGTCCCTGCAAACATGCGGCTGGCTGCAGTCAGGGCCTACTGACACCATCGATGCACTCCCGCCAGAGGCTCAGCTGCTCTCCGCCAGGCCAACCGAGAGCGCTTGTCCCGGGTGGGACATAGGGGCTGAGACAGATGGAGGGAGACGTAACACATCAGGAATGGAAATCCAGATTGAGAGAAGGAAGCAGTAAGTAGGAGACAGATGTGAAGGAAGCGGACACAAGGCAAGAAGATGTTGGAAGGGAGAAAGGAGGTGGCCATCCAGGAGCCAGGCCTGGAGCATCAGTGTGGGGGAGTTCATGTAGGCTGGGCCTGTGCCAGTAGTAGGGACAGGGGACGCTGGGTGGCCACGGGTGTCATAGCTGGTGCTTAAAACCGCTGAGGCGGGGTGCGGTGGCTCAAGCCTGTAATCCCAGCACTTTGGGAGGCCGAGGCGGGTGGAACACGAGATCGAGACATCGAGACCATCCTGGTCAACATGTTGAAACCCCGTCTCTACGAAAATACAAAGAAAATCAGCTGGGCATGGTGGCACGTGCCTGTAATCCCAGCTACTCGGGAGGCTGAGGCAGGAGAATTGCCTGAACCCAGGAGGCGGAGGTTGCGGTGAGCCGAGATCGCGCTACTGCACTCCAGCCTGGGCAACAAGAGCGAAACTCCGTCACACACACACACACACACACACACACACACACACACACACACAGAGTCTCTGAAACTGATGAGAATAAATTCCATAGAAATATGACGTCGGACCAATGATAGTATTGGTATAGAAAGGGAAAAAGAGCCGGGCGTGGTGGCTCAAGCCTGTAATCCCAGCACTTTGGGAGGCCGAGGCGGGTGGATCACGAGATCGAGACATCGAGACCATCCTGGTCAACATGGTGAAACCCCGTCTCTACTAAAAATACAAAAAATCAGCTGGGCATGGTGGCACGTGCCTGTAATCCCAGCTACTCAGGAGGCCGAGGCAGGAGAATTGCCCGAACCCAGGAGGCGGAGGTTGCGGTGAGCCGACATCGCGCCATTGCACTCCAGCCTGGGCAACGAGAGCGAAACTCCGTCTCACAGAAAAATAAAAAATAAAAAAAATAAAGAAAGTCTCTGAAACTGATGAGAATAAATTCCATAGAAATATGACATCGGACCAATG